TTATGTATACAGTATTCTGCCTGCATGTGTCCCCACAGGCCAGATGAAGGCATCAGATCTCATATCAGGTGGTTGTGAGCCTCCATGTGGTTGCTGGGAATTGAACTCAGGACCTTTGGAAGAGGAGCCCCCACTCTTAATCTCTGAGCCATCTCTCCAGTCCAAAAATAAATCTTTAAAAATAATAATAGGAGCCAGGCGGTGGTGGCGCACGCCTTTGATCCCAGCACTTGGGAGGCAGAGGCAAGCAGATCTCTGTTAGAGACCAGCCTGGTCTACAAGAGCTACAAAGTCACAGAGAAACCCTGTCTCGAAAAAAAAACAAACAAACAAAAGTCATAACAATCAGAAGAATCTGAAAAGTGGCTAAACATTTTCAGAAATGTGAAAAATAATCCTGATAAAACAGTTGCTATTAGCAAGTGTTGGTCATGCAAGAAGTTTGCATTGGTATGCACAGTCCAATATGTAAACAATAAGGCACTCTAGCCAAGGGTCAAGAATGACCAGGATAAGCCAAAGCTCAAAAAAAGAAAGGAAGGAAGAAAGAAAGAAAGAAAGAAAGAAAGAAAGAAAGAAAGGAAAAAAAAAGAAAGACCCGCTAAGATTCCTTCATTTAGACTTAACGCTCTAAGTAACCTGAGATTTAAGGGATTAAATTGTTGGCTTGACTTTGGACTCACAGGGACAAGCTTTCTTTTCTTTCACTTGATTCAGAGAACAGGAGTGGGCTCCTCATGCAGGATAGATGCTTCACAGATGTTATAGGTTCAAGCTCTCTGTAACTGTAGCTGAATGAATGTTATGGTTGAAGCACTGATTAATCTGAGGGAATGGTGCCATGGTGACTGTCTGCAAGCAGGACAATTAACAGAACAACTGCTGGGCAGTCTGGCCACTGATAGCCTCAGACAGAGAGGGTCATTTATTTCTTTAGAATAGTCCTGTGTTCCCAAAGAGCTTTCTGACAGTTAGCACCTCTACCTCACACTTCTGCAAGGAGTGTGAGCAGTTGGTCTCTTTGTAAAAGTCAGGAAACCAAAACACAAACACAGGAAACACATGCCCTGTAACAGATGTGCTGACCCCAGAGATGAGATGCTAATTCCAGGGTACGCCCTCACATCCCCATGGGTGAGAACAAGGGGGCAGGAGTGAATCTCTAGTCCAGAGACAGAAAACAAAACAAAACAGATCCGGCCCCAGAAGCACCCACAAGCTCCTCAGACCAGAATGTGGGCTCAGTTTGTCCAGGCTCCTATCCCAACAACTGTCACAAGAGATGTCCTTATGTGTGTTAAGTATCCCCTGCACTCTCCATTTTAGCTGGAGTCACCTCAGGGCAGGAACCCTGTCCATATCCCAGGGACAGCCTTGGGGATGAGGTGGATGGGGGTGTTAGATATTTTTAATTGACTCTAGTCTCTTGCTTTCATATTGTCCTAAAAGTGTGTTTTAAAAGTCCTTATTGATTCTTTTTTTGTTTTTGTTTTTGTTTTTTTGAGACAGGGTTTCTCTGTGTAGCTTTGGAGTCTATCCTGGCACTTGCTCTGGAGACCAGACTGGCCTCGCACTCACAGACATCTGCCTGCCTCTGCCTCCCAAGTGCTGGGATTAAAGGCGTGTGCCACCAACGCCTGGCAACTTCCTGAAGGGGGCAGTTCTCTCCCTCTACCATGTTGGGTCCAGGAATCCAACTCAGAAGAGTGCTTTATACCCTGAACCATCTAGCTGCCTTGGACTTTGCTATGCCTTCATACGTGCCTGGAATACCTCTGCATATATGACAACCTTGCAAGGGCAGAGGGACAAAGGGGCTTCCCTGATGCTTCTCTGGGTGTAGGCTGTTGAGTGACATTGCTTAACCTAGAAAGAATAATTGCCCTGTCACCAAAGCGTTACTGGTCAGTGAGCAGCTGACCAGGCACAGGGAGAGCATGTCTCATACCCAGGAAGTCAAGCAGCGCTGTTGACAAAGAAAACCGCCTCTATTTTGAGATGTCAGTTACATGCCTTTAACTTTAGTGATCCCACACGAGAAAACATTCTTAGAAAACCTGAGGTTCAATGCTATAGTCCTAGCCCTAGGAAGGATGAGGTGCTCCCAGAAGTTCAAGAATAGCCTAGGCAATATAGTGAGACACTTACATCTCAAAACCCCAAATCCCAACTCAGGGATTGTAGTGCACAAGCCTAGTAGCCCTAGTACTCGGGAGGTAAGAACAAGAGATTCAGAAGTTCAAGGTCACCCTCAGCTATGTGGGGAATTGCAAGCCAGCCTGGGCTAGAGACCATGTTTTTTAAAAAAAAAAATTCAAAACTTTTTGAGTGCTGACACATTGCTACAGTGGAAAATACCACATCATGAAACTGTTTCATGCATAGAATTCTCTAAAATGGTGTCTGAAATTGCATCCATGCTATGTGCATAAGGCGTGCACCAAACATAAATGAATTTCATGTTTAGAATTGGGAAAACAGCCCATTATGCATATGTAAATATTCAAAAATCTTTAACCACCTCTGGTCCCAAGCATTTTGAATAAGATATTCAACTTGCAAGTGTATTCAAAACTTTATAGGTTGCAATGCACTATAAATCTATGATCAAATTTGAACTTGAGAGAAATATTGAAGATAAAAAAGTGGGACCTACAGATTTTCTTTTTTTAAAGCAAGTTCTCAACTATGTAGCATTGGCTAGCCTGGAACTTGCTATGTAGACCAGGCTGGACTCAAACTCAGAGATCCACCTGCCTCTGCCTCGTCAGTGCTGGGATTAAAGAAAAGTATATACCACTATGCCTGGTAAAATTTTTAAATTTTAACTTAAATTATATTTAAGTTAAAATTAATGTTTTAAATTAAAGAGTATTTTAACATTTTTAAATTTTTATTTGTGTGTGTATGTGTGTGTGTATGTGTGTGT